CAATTTATGATCTATCATGCGTATTTCTATCTATGAGTTATGAGCAATCTAGTAGCATATGACCCTCTACACCATACCAATAACATGCATTTGAACCACGCCGATAATTCCCTCTTTGAGCTTCGCCACACTGTCTGCAGGTAGGTCAAGGTGGTAATTTGCGATCGGTACCCCTCTGAGGCTAAAGGTTTGATGCCCTAGAAGTCTAACCTAATCATGCCAATGTCTCAAAAATCACGTTGGAGCACTAAATATGGAGCGTATTGCTGACTGGGTCTCTTTAGCTGGTCCTCAGCTTATGGAAGCTCCACCGCTTCCCTGATACTGGTCAGCCATCTTAGCCCTCTTACACTGGTCTCTCTCGCTCTCTACTTCACGATTATGTTGTTCCTTCTCAAATTGTTGAGCATATTCCCTAATCCTTGGAATATCCAATTTCCTATTCAGGGCATAAACCGAGAGAATGTCCTTCAAGCGATCTGTGAGGCCACCTACAAAGTGATAAATCCTTAACCTGGGTACAAACCAACTCTGGATCAAATCAAGACAATTGCGTAAATCGCATGATATACTCTCTGACACTAAGATCACATTGATTTAAATTAGAAATTCATCTACCCTTGCTTTTCTAAGCTCTAATGGAAAAAATGATCTATGAAGGCCTTTAAAAAGTTTGCCATAACCACTGGGGAAGCATTCTGCTCCTTGAAGCTTCCCACATCTCATATCAAGCAATAGCAACATCTTTCAAGTGATAAGAAGCCAGTTCAACAACATATATCTATGATACATGCATCACCTTACAGATTCTATGAGTCTCATCAATGCACTATTGAGGGTCCTCCACAAGGTTGTAGCATGTAAAGACTAGTGGATTCATACGAAGGAAAACTCAAATCCTAAATCCAGCTGCCTTTCTCTAAGCGGCATCAGGTACCTCTACACTCTGTCTCTGAGCCTGAGCAGCTACCAATTGAGTGAGAAATCGTATCACTTCTCTCATATCCTGCTCTGAAGCACCCAATGGTGGTATAGGAACTACTGATGGCACTATTGGAGGTGCGGAACTCATGCATCCTTCTATACTAAGCACTTGAGGCAATAAAATCATAGGACTGGGCAACCCTTCTTGAGCCCTAGTCTAATCAACTGATACTAGAGACTGCTATGTGGTGGCTACCTCCTGAGGGGTTCCAATAGTGGCCACCTAGACTATTTGTCCTTATTCATAACAAACATGATATGTAACACAAATAAGCAGAATATGAGTTAGAAATAACATTCTATGACTTTGCTTTATCATACGATCTAAATTATTAAAAAGATAAATTTCCTAAATGCCCTTTCAGTTCCATAATTGTAAATGTAGAGTGAAATACATTAATAAGTAAGGTCCTACTTGACCCAGCTTCATAAACTCCCTGGGATAGCTGAACCTAGACTCTAATACCAAGTTTGTCATGCCCAAAAATAGAGGGTACATAAGAACCCTATGGATGCCTATCTACAAATAAGCTGTGACATGTAAGAAGCTATAAAGTAATAAGCGAACGGAATAACCAATACATTCTAAGTATACAAGCTATAAAGTTATCTGGGCAAAACCTATATAACATGATACATCATGATGTCTAGGAAGCTTCTAAAATATATGCAATATCATACTACTAATAACTCATTGAGACAAACCACGACGTATGCAACTAGCAACTTGTACATATAATCAAAAGTACTTGACATAAGCTAGCCTGAGTAGAGATGGAGCTCACCAAAACATCAACTAAAGTCGACAAAAGAACCTAACGTGGATGTCTCATCCCCTATGAACCTGATCCTACATTTACTATGAAATGTCGCACCCCATATACATGGATGTCAGTACATATAGAACATGTACTTGTATTTAAAGTAGACAGAATAACAGATAAACAGGTATGTAAGCTCATACGAACCAGAAGGTAAATCGGAAGAATTAGGAGCATATAAGGAGTAGATACAGAATATACAATGGTAACCTATGCACCAACTTCATTAGTAATCATATGATATCCTAAGAAATGTTCATTTTATTATGATACCTATAGTTTGCCTAAGTGAAGTACTTTAATTATTCCTATTAAAAGGGATCATGTGATGGCCAATCAAAGGTGACCCACATTAACTATAAAGCATAAGTTTCCTAAAGGCTCATCTTTATGTTTCTATGCATATACTGTAATCGCGGTCCGGTACGAGGTACACCCCTCCGTGGGATCATTATGAGGGTCTGCCCACAGTCCATATGTACCATGTGTTGTCTTGAGTCAAGGGGAACTAGTACACGATATTCCATCTGATTCCAAATGCAAATGATGCCACAAGGGTAGGTACGCAACAATATTCAGGTTCACTATAGTGGTTTAGTCCCCATTTTATGCAAATAATCACATTGCAAGAGTGTGTCAAGTAGAACCTATGAATACCTACTCATTCCGATATTTTATCAAGTAACGCCTTAGACGGCCTATGACCAAACTGATCATTGAAACTGAAACGGTAGTTCACTTTCTTTTGTGCCATCTCATGATCTAAACGAGCCGCACATACACCCTAATACATGTTCCTCGATGCTGAGGGCACCCCGAAGAGAGGGGGATTTCGTGACATTAATTGAATGATGGTGAATTACTTTTATTTAATAAATTCAACGATAAAATCTCAAATCATATATTTGCACGAAATTCATGTTATTTTCCTTGAACCGCTACAAAATCAACAATTCCATAAATTAGAGGTAAAGTTCATTCAACTAATCAAGTAATGTCTCTGTATGGTATCTAACTTTCCAAATATGATATCAACAATCTAAATGTTGCTTCTGACATTAGCTTATAAGTAAGGTACTTATGTCCTTACCTACTTAAATATAACTATCCTACGGCGGTTCATTCTTGTTTAATACAAAAAGACATATATACCATTATGAATCATAAGAAATCCAAGTAAAGATACTTATTATAGCCCAAAATGTTAATAAACTCAACCGGAAGAGGGTGACATGAATACTTTTAAGCTTAAACAATTAATCAAGTAGGTGACAAGTGTGAAGGTTTTACTTTCATGATTCAAGTGAACTAACTAGACCTTTATATGAGAATCATGTGGCATAGGTGGTGCCCAAAAGGCCAAGGGAGTTTTAGCTTTAGATACCTTGAATGATTTTGTTGCTAATGATGATATCACGAATTCCAAATAAATCAACGGACGAGGGTGTAGTATTTCACATCACAACCCACTAGCTTCCACCACTCAATTACGATCAATCAATCCAACATAGTTAACTAAAAAATAATATACACATGTTCATCAATAACCCGTAGGTTCATCAATAATTCATTCCAATATTTTCCGCTTATACCCAAACTAATCTAATTTTTAATAATCATTCGGAGTGAATTCCTTATCTAATTTTCCAAAATACAAGGTGCAATCTTACTTTTGCACATAAGTAGAAACACCCAAAAGTTTCACTTTAATAAAAAATTCACTAATTATTTTCTTCCATTTCCAAGAAACCTAACTCATCAAAAAACCCATTCTGAAAGCTAGTGCAGCAATTCCAATTAAATGGTGATTTTCACTTTACACCACATCCCAAATAAGCAATCCATAATTATATTCAAGTGTGGGTTAGAGAATTTACCTATTCGAAATCAACCCAACTTGATTTCTTGATGAATTTCTGAAATTCTTAAACGAAGATTGTCGCTTGTATAAGACTTAGGTTCCTATATGCTTTCTTGTTTATGAGAATAATTATTTCATGGTTAAATCATCACCTCGCTGCAATTGCTGAAGCGCGGCGGCAAAAAGCACGTTGTGCTTCTGGAAATCCCAAGAAAAATGCTTAGCCTAAGCATTCTATAGAAAGAATTGAAGGGTGACCCCACTAACCCACATGTCAATTAATGACTACTGTAAAAGAAATAATCACTTTACCCTTTGTTTTCTTTCATTTACTTAGTTGGCAATATATATGTTGCAATTTTACTTAAAATATGCTCACTCAATTTAAAGCATATAATTAGTATGCCAATACATCAAATGTTCCATTTAACTTGATAGCGAGTAGCACTTCATTGCCCTTTTTCGAATATTATTTGCCACTCTTCGAATGAAATTCTTAAATACAAATAATTATGACACACTCAATAATCCTTGATTTGGTAAATAGTCCTCCATGTAACCCTTTATAGCTTAATGGATATATATTCACTTAGTAATCAACATAATTCAAACTTCGAGATGCTACACCAGGCCTCTACGAACACGGCATAGGCCTCGCAAACACACAGACCAAGACCACCGATCACAGCAAATGCGGCCGGGAGCCCGTGAATGGAAAGAGAAAATGTGACTGCATCAGCTGATGTAGACTAACCAGTTTTTCTTAACTTAAAAATTCCTGATGAGGTGCTCGAGATTCATTTAGAACCCCGTGTGCAAACGACATATGATACCCTACCAAATTCGGTATTTTTGACTCAATGGAGATGTCAACACTTCCAACCAAGATCGCCTCAACATAAAGTAGGTCCCACACTCAAAATCCATTTTAAGACAAATTCCAAAATGGGGATCGAAATGAGCCTGGAAGCCTCAGGATCCGCACCAAAGGTCCTTCTAGACCAAACTCGACATTCTGGAGCTAACAAAATCGTTAGAATTACATTCTTAGGTCGTCTTTTTGAACTTTCAACCAAAGTCAACCATATAAGTTTCAAGAGCTCTAAAACATGAAAACATGCACAAAATTTGTAGGACAACTAGGTGACCACACTATTAGTCCCAGCAAGTCATAAATACCTTGGGGTCACTATAGTAACGCTATAAACACCCAAAACAATATATAAAGGATAAAATGATCTGAAGGGTCATTACAACATGCTAAAAAGGAATTTTGTCCACGAAAGTAGGAGTCAAGAAGTACCTGGAGGCTTAAACAAGTGGGAAAACTACTCTCACATCTCATGCTCGGTCTCCCAGATAGCCTCCTCGACTGGACGATGCCTCCAACGGACCTTAACCACAGGAATGGCTCTAGAATTCAGTTGTCGCACATCTCTATCTAGATTAGCAACTAGCTCTTCCACAAAGGTCAAAAAGACATCCCATTCAACTGACTCATATGGGAGCACATGAAAGTTAACAAGAACATATTGGCGACGCAAAAAATGGGATAGATAGCTAAAACTGCAGGAGGTAAGGCCAACTCATAAGAGATTTTACCAACTATCCACAGAGTCTCATATGGTCCTATATACATGGGGCTAAGCTTTCCCCGCCTCCCAAATCGTGACACTCGAAGGAATACCTGGTCACCAAGTCCAAATCTCAAAAGCTGATGTATTTGGTCAACATTACTCTTATGCTTACTCTGAGCTGACATAAATCTATCTTGAATCACCTGCACATGATATAAGACCTCTAGAAGAAAACAGTACCATGCAGATTCGGCTCCAAAGACCGAAACCAACCAACCATAGAGTGAAAATGCCTATCATATAAAGCCTCAAATGGGGCCAACTAAATACTCGAGTGCTAGTTGTTATTATACGTGAACTCCACCAAAGTAAATAATTGTTTCCACTAACCTCCAAAGTCTAACACACAGGCCCACAACATATCCTTTAAAACCTAAAAGGTGTGCTCCAACTACTTATCGATCTATGGGGGAAAATGTGTGCTAAGATCAACATGGGTACCTAATTCCTAAAAGGTTCTCTAAAAGCTGGAAGCGAACTAAGAACCTCTATCTTAAATGATTGATGGTGCTATCCCGTGAAGAAAAACTACCTCCAGAATGTAGACATGAGCTAATCTCTCGACACTGAAAGATGACTGAATAGGTAAAGAGTTTGTTAACTTAGTCAATCGACCAATGATGATCCAAATACTAAAAACACCTCTAGAAATCCATGTCAATCACATAACAAAGTCCATGGTGATGCACTCCCACTTCCACTCTGAAATGGAAAATCTCTTAAACTCACAATCAGGCCTCAAATACTTGACCTTCACCTATTGTTAATAAAAGAAACGGAACATGTAGTCTGTAATATCTCTCATCATGCATCTTCACCAGCTATGCTACCTCAAATCATGATACATCTTTGTAATGCCCAGATGAATTGTAGATCTAGAATCATGGGCCTCACAAAGAATCAACTAAATCAAATCTCTAACTCTCGAAACACAAAAACAACCATCAAACCTAAACACTCTATTAGAATATAAGGTAGCCTACTGGTGTCACCTTGAAAAATCTAATCTTGGATAGCCAACAAGGCCTCATCCTCAAACAGACAACCGCGGATCCATTCCAACAGAGATGATTGAACCCCAACATAGGATAACACCCACCTAAAATCTGAAACATCGAGTCAAAAAATCCTATTGGTGAAATACTAAGTGTATAAAGCCCAAGGTCGCTCCACGGCCGAAAGGCAGGCTAGACTACCCATACTCACTGCCTTTCAACTCAAGGCATCCCCTTCTATGTATTTCTCTTCCACATGGTAGAAAATAGAGAGGTCGTAGTATTTCAGAATCTCAATCCACCTACACTACCCAGAATTAAGGCCCTTTTGGATCATAATGTACTGAAGACTTATGTGATTAGTGTAGATCTCACAAGGGACCACATGCAGGTAGTGCCTCCAAATCTTAAGCGTAAAAACTATTGTCACTAACTCAAAATCATGAGTGGGGTAGTTGAACTTGTGAACCTTAAGTTTCTCGATGTATAAGTTATAACACGGCCTTGCATCATAAACACACAACCCAAGCCAATTTTGAATGCATCGCAATACACTGTGAAGCCCTCACCCTAAACTTGAAGAGTCAAAACAAGAACGGTAATAAGCAACTCCTTGAGCTTCTAAATGGTAAACTCACACTCCTTAGACCATGCAAACAGAATATCAAGGTGAATCAACAGAGTCGGAGGTGTTGCAATAGTCAACAATCCCTATATAAACCACTTCTAGTAGCCTGCTAATCTGATGAAACTCCAAATTTCAATCACTAAGGTGGCCAAACTCAATTACAAATAGCCTCAATCATCACCAGATCGATCATAATACCATCATTGGACACCATGTTTCCTAAGAATGCTACAGAGTCAAGCGAACTCGCATTTTGAGAAGTTGACATAAAACAGTTGAACTCTTAGAGTTTGGAACACAGTCCTCAAATGTTGCTCGTGCTCCTCCCAACTCCATGACTATACAAAAATTTAATCTATAAACATAATGATAAATGTATAAATATACAGCCTGAGCATATACGTCATCAAGTCCATGAATGTCGTTAGGGCATTGGTCAACCTAATGATTATCAGTAGGGACTCATAATGACTGTAACTAGTCTCAAATACGGTCTTAGGTATGTCCACCACCCTAATCCTAATATAATGGTAACTAGATCTCAAGTCAATCTTAGAAAACATTATGGCACCATTAAGTTGGTCAAACAAATCATCAATGTGAGGCATGGGATACTTATTCTTCATTGTTACCTTGTTCAGCTGCTTGTAATAAATACACATCCGCATATACCCATCCTTATTCTTCATAAATAGAAATGAGAACCCCAAGGTGGCATACTCGGTCAAATGAATCCCTTACTTAAGGGAACTTAAAGATGAAGACTGAGCTCCTTAAGCTCTATGGGGGGCTATACGATAAGGAAAAATAGAAATGGAATGATTTCCCATCTCAAAGTCAATAGCAAAGTCAATATCACGCTCCAGAGTAATGCCATGTAGATCAGTAAGGAAAACATTCACAAAATCTTGCACAATGGGGAGTGAATCCACTATAGGGCCATCCCTACTAACATGACACACATAGGACAAATAAGATAGATACCCTCTAGCAACCAACCTCTGAGACCAAATAAAAGAGATAACCCCAATCGGCATGTGACTAAAAAAGCATTATCACACCACTGGAGGGATACCATGCATGGCAAAGGTAATGGTATTAGCAAAACAATCCAAGACCATATGGTAGTGGAATAACTAATACATTCCCAAGATAATATAAAAATCTAACATATCCAATACAATGAGGTCAGCCCGAGTGTCACACCCCTAGATAGTCACGAAGCAAGATCTATAGACCTGATCTAGTACTAACTACTCACTCACAGGGTTCGAACCATGCAATAATTCTGATAAAGGCTCAGAACACATAATCAACTGAGACGCATGATATACAGATACATATGAGAAAGTATGGCCAAAATAAAATAAAGTTGAGGTGGGCTAATGGCATAAAAGAATCGTACATGTGATAACACCATCTAATGCCTCAACATCTGCCCTCACTGGAGCTGCATATAGGTGGCCCTATCCACTTCTACCCTTTGAATCAAATCTACCACCTGATCTACCTCATCGGTATCCTCCCAAGCTCCCTGATGGGCACTCCGTCAGTCTAGACCCTAGGCACTACCTCTAGCTAGAAATGCTACTACTGATACTAATTGAGCTAAATATGGAGGAAGTGGAATCGTCCCACACCAAGGATAATATTTGGACCAATGATAAATATCCCCACACTCAAAAAAATCTTAGGGGGAGGGCGGTCCGTCCTTAAGAAGATCAGCTGCCAAGACCTGAAGAACCAGAATATGAACCCTGGGAACTCTGATATGCGCCAGAACCACCTTAGTTGTACTTACTACCCTTAGAAGCCTGAAGTGCCACCTTAATAAGTCAGCTATACTGACCTTGGTGAAACCACTGGCGAGGCCTATCATATGTGTCGCTACCCTAAAATGGAACATGTTGTAGCTACCTTAGTGATGAGCCCTCTTGTCACTACCACATTGACCTCATGGGAGATCCTTTATAGTGTGGGTATGGTCTATAAGGTCTTAAAATGATCTTCTTGGTGAAGCCATAGACTCGTTCTAAATCCATAATTGTAGCCTCAAATGATGGACAAACAACGAACCCTCTGCTACTCATTAGGTAATATCATTGCACTATGCATGGATAGCTCATGAAAACTTGAGTCATACTCTAATACCTCATGGATCCATGCTCCAACCTGGAGAACTGATCTCGGAGTCAATCCCTAACACTTCACAATATGAATTAAGCCAAAAATGCCTAAGAAAAATTTCATCCACGATAGTAGAGGTGATCCAACTAGCCTACACCTAATAAATCTATGCCAATACTACCTAGTTGACCCACCAAGCAGATAAACTGTGAAGTCGGCTCCTCTCAACTCCACCAGCCCCAAAGTGTACAACCAATAATGGCACATAGTCAAAAACCCATGTGCATCCTCCCAATAGCCCTAAAAACCTAGGAGGTGAAAATCTCAAGAACACTCCGAGCATCTTCTTCTACTCTAATGGCATAGCCCTCACTGTAATAATTGGTTGGAAAACAGGGGGACTGGTGGCACCTCTACCTTTGGAGCGGCTACGGTAGGTTGATCCTAGGATGTTGGCCTAGCTGGAGTTGGGGCCTGGTGCATGCCCTCTAATATAGCTAGTAAATAAGCAATAGTTGTTTGTAAGTCTAGAGCCACAATTGGTCCGTATGGTGGTTGGGCTAGTCCCGACCCCATTGGCTCTAGAGTCTTATGTTTGTCCTAGGCTGGTGTTGTGGCCCTTGCACGACCTTGAGGTCATCTTCTGCCCCTAGTTAGGGCTCTACCAACAGGCTTGGGTGCATCACCCTAGTCGTTCTGTTGCACTTATGAGCCATACTATGAAAGAATAAAATAACCAGGATTCTAAGAAACCAATAATACACACGATGCATATAACGATACAAAATAGAGAATTTTCCTAAAGATGTATTGTAACTTCCCAAAGATAGTTTCGCACATGTAACACCTCAGAAGTGTATAAGGTAGCTTGGAAATTTAAAAGTTGCATAAAGTTTTTGGTGCACTATTGTATGAGCCCATGTATGATTCGTGTATTGTTATACTGCTCATGGATGGTTGTAGTAAAGTGAGATTAGAAAGTTGAAAAAATAGTGAGTCTATGACATTAATACACAAGCCAATATGATGGCTTATGGTTGGGAAGAAGGGTCGTATTTGGGACTCGTAGAAATGGTCCTCAGACTTAGGTGATTTTGTACTTGGAAGTCCAAGAGGGACTTGTATAGGTCATACATTGTTTAAGGGGTCACAGAGACCTGCTCATGAATTATTATACAGAAAGTTAATTTCCAAGGATTAAGTTTAATGACCTAAAAGTACGAGTCATGGATTAGAGAATGGATCATGCAATGGATTCGTGGTTCCAAGTTTTGGGTTAAGGTTTTTTCGTTGTTCTTCTATGAATGGCCTTTTACGGTCCTTGTAAGGAAGTATGGCCTGTTGATTGAGATATAGAACCTGATCGACAATTACT